CCCCCCCCCCCGCTTGACCCGCCCCTGAAATTTGTAATTCAGTTATTTATTAACTTTTAACGGAAACTTAATACGAGAAAATATTTCCGAACATTAGCAAACAAAAGTTTGAGAGAGGCTACGTTCAGACTTGGAGATAAGCTGGGCTTGAGTTAAGCCTGACTCAACGTTAAGCCCGGGCGTTCACACTAGCAGGATTAGCCAGACGCGAGAATTTGCATAATAATGAACCGTAACCAAGAAAAGTGTTTCAAAACATTGCTTGCGAAACGTACGCTAGCTCACAGCGTACGTAATTGAATGCTAATTGGTCATTTTGCTATCCGAAGTCAATGCAAGATCCGCCAAGCCTAGTTACTATAGGAACACAGCCCGGCTTGAGATAAGCCACAAGTTCAGATCTGGCATGTGGATAAACCCGGTGAGTTGAGCCGGGTTTATCCACCTAGTCTGAACTAGGCCAGAGTCTCGGACCCCGTCCAAAGTTTGTCTCTTGGCATAGGCCTGTCAGGAAAAATTTGGTCCGGGGCCAAAATCGGACCGATTTTGGCTTTAAAATTACCTGCCAAATGTAGTCCACATAAGCCAAAATCGGTCCGGTATCTGTTATAACCTGTTTTTTTTTTTGTTTTTTTTTAAGCGTTGTTCAAATTTGTTTTTAACCAAATGAAATGATAGATAGGACTATCTCATCTCATATATAGGCCTATAATATTTTTTCATTCGTTGTGTGTGCAATTGAGTTTACAGCCACAAAAATTAGTAGGCCTATGTTTATTTTCGCTCTTATTTTTTAGGTGTAAAAGTTTGAAAATAACATAATAAACGATATGATCGTAAATCGTGTTGGTCCGCTCTACTTTAGTTTTTACCTTGTTTTGTTTTGGTTGTGTGCTTGGTAACGCTGCGACGAAATGGTAGAATAATGAGCAATCATTTAAAAAAAAAAAAAAATTATTGACCCCTTTTATTTTCATGTAATAGAACAACTATTGTATGACCTAATACCACACACACTCAGTGGCGTAGCAGGCGGGAGGGGGGGGGGGAAGTGGCAGGGAAAAGACTTCCCCCCACCCCCTGACGGTTTTTACCGGGCTGACCAAGCCGGGCTGGGTAATAAGCGAAAAGAAAGAGGGGAGAGGGAGGGAAAGAGAAAGGAAAAAAGAAAAGGAAAGGACGAGAAAAAGAGAAGAGAAAATAAAGACAAGAATAAAAAGGAATAATGACTAGTCTCACAACACCCTGCAACCCCTTCTAAACTTCAAAAAGTGTCCATAGCTTCTTTGATCTAAGCCGCCAGATATTCTCCGCAGTGGCGTAACCACCGGGGGACAAGGGGAAAATATCCATCTGTGGAAAATCTTTCCCCCTCCCCTTGAAGATGCCCTTTCACCCCCTGAAAGTACCTAAAAATCTCACATTTTGCGTTTTTATTCAAAGTAGGCCAATTTCCTCTAAAAATTGCACATTTTAGGGAGTTTTGATCAATTCCGACGAAATTAGAATTAAAAATACAAAAATTTCTTGCGCGCTTCGCGCGCCTATTTTTTTTTAGTATTTTAAAGGTTCACGTTATGTAAACATAATAGTCGAAAAACTCAAAAAACGACAATTAAGATAGATCGTTTTACCTAAAAGAAGGGCCTCAATGTGTAATGACAGTGAAAGAATATGTTTGTAATAAATAAAGCCATAATGAAAGTGCTTATATTTAGTTTCTAAAAAACGTGTTTGGCCATATAACATAAGACATAAGCTCAAAAAAAAAAAGAAAAAAAAAGCGCATTTTTGAAGGTTAGAAGTTGTGCTTGTCCTCCTTTGCCTTCTAATTTAAATGAACCCATAATAGTCCCGACTCAAATAGAAAAAACATTTAAGATAGATCGTTTTACCTAAAAGAAGGGCATCAATGTGTATTGATGTTGAAAGAAAATGTTTGTAATAAATAAAACCATGATGAAAATGCTCATGCAGGCATATTTAGTTTCGAACACACGTGTGTGGCCTATATTATAAATAAGATAAGCCGTACCGGTATGTCGTATTGTTTTCTATATGGGGGGGGGGGGGGGGGGTGGAGTGCGTATGATAAATTACTAACTGGGAAAATTATTACCTTTTCCACCACCCCAAGACCCCTGTTACGCGCCTGTATACAATAATATGGAATATTTAAAGCTAATAAATCAGACTTATGTTTAATTTTAGGCTAAAAAAACCAAACACGGCCGAAAAATGCCGATATGTGTCGGCCAGGCCTAGGAATGCATTCATGTGTGTTTGATAAAATACGTCCACAACGAGTCCAGACCCGGGTCCACAAAAGCTATACGAATCATTCTTTCACTGCAAAAGATTTTTCAAGTGTGGGAAAAGCATGTTATTAATTCCCTCCACTTCACGGCCCGAGAAACAATCATACCATACGGGCAGGAGATGCGAGCGGCCAGGCCGACGGACCAATTTTATCCAAGGGGGACCGATTTTAGCGGCTAAAATCGACCCGGTGGACCGACTTTGGCGGCCAAAAACTGTCCGCCTGACCATTTTTGAGCCGGACCAATTTTGGCGTGACAGGTCTATTATTACGCTCTCTCTTTGGTTACGACAGTCACGCATTAGTGATTTTGAACTCGGCCAGGATTTGACCAATCAAAATAAGCCTATGTAAACAGGAAATAAAATGCAAGAATTTCGTGCGGATATACTTACGCCAAGCGTTCGTTAATCGCACAGCCTGGACATCTCGCTAGTTGCGCCATGGACTAACGTACGCCCGGCGTTAGATACGCCTGGCGTATCTCTCAGGTCTGAACATAGCCTTAAAAATATTATGGGACTGGGCGAGGCTTAGGGAGTTCATTTTATTTATTTGAAGGAGAAATTCAATGTTCATTGAATGCTGTTTGAGTTTCTCATAGTTTACTGATAGAACAGAAAATAGGGTAAAAGTTTATGGTGAGGCGCGGTTGAAGAACCGCGCAAGGCTCTAAGTTCGTTCCTCCAACTCCAACTGGATTTTTTGCTGACCAATAATAATTATACTCTCATACAGCCATGGGCGCAGAACATGCGGGGGGTGGGCACATGTTTTTTTAAAGGGGTTGGTCCCCCTTTTCGACCGCAAAATGTAATTTTATAAGTAAATATGATGCCAGAATGTTGTTGAAATTAACTGCCGGTGTCACTAACATTTGAATTACATTACAATACTCGAGTGCGCGTGCTTTTGTTATAATTTGAGATGTATGAGAAAAAGTACAATATATTTTCTGCACACGAAGTACAGTAGGTAAAGTAACGTAAATACATCAGAAGTCAATTAAGTATTATTTTCTATGGTACAATACAGAGATTAATTAGATTTCTATGATAGCCGAAAATCACTGATAAAGGATCATGGTGGTGATGATGATGGTGATGATGATGAATTTTGCTATGTAATAAGGGTGTAATTTCCGGCTAGGTTGAGGTACTCCCATAGAGAGCTTTACGGTAGGGCGTAGAATGACGTTACTAAAACTCATCTGTGTACGTAGATTGTAGGTCGCAATTTGGCCAAATCTACGTATACACATGGAGGTATTATTGGTAATAATACCTCCATGGTATACAGAACATGGGATCGATCAGACGCGCCCCCGGTAGGACGGTCACGCATGAGTGATTCCGTTCTATCGTCGCGTTGTCGCGCAAATCGAAAGATCTCTACTATGCTATTTCCTCAAATTTTCGCATCTCAGCCCCAACCATGGTGCTGAGGTGGTTTTTATGGATGTGGACTCACGGCTTAAAGTAAGTAAATAAAGTACAGTAAATACACCACAATGTTTTGAAGTTTTATTTTCTATGGTACGTCACACATATGGCTGCCGAAAATCGCTGATGAAAAAAGCATGAGAAATTAGTTGGCACTTTATTTTGACTACAATGGTGATGATATGATGACGAATTTTACTATATAACAGTGTCATTTCCGGCCATCTAGAGGTACTCTCTCCAAATTTTCGAAATCCACGTGTTTGCCACGTTTTAGGGAAAATAAATAAATTAAAAAAAAAATGGTAGGTCGGTAGGAAAAGTTTTTTTCTTCTTTCTTTTTTCACCGATAATAATGTGTTTATAATGTGTTTATGCCTAACAATGACCATTTTAAAAATCTATATTGAAAAGCAAGACGATTGCATAACACAGTCGCATCGCCTACCATCGCAAGATAAGCCTATTCCAGCCTTTTTAGCTCATTAAAAATATATTTTTTCGTTAACAGTAAAAAAAAACAAAAACAAAAACAAAAACAAAAACAAAAACAAAAACAAAAAACAAAAACAAAAACAAAACAAAACAAAAAATGAAACTGAAATTCCGACCCTCAATTTCAAACATTTTGGGACGGTCGGGCATGGCTAACACAATAATTTTTTTTTCATTTGGCCCTATACTCATTACTCTGCCCTGGTAATTCTTTAGTGACTTGAATATATTTTAATTCATTATTGTCATTATTATTATTATATTATTATTATCATTATTATTATGGTCATTATTTTAAATAATATATTATTATTATTATTAGGCTATTTCGTTATTTGGACTCAAAATCTTATTATAGGCCTACATACAATTTATTAACTTACATTTTGTTATCCTATAGCCATGGCCGCTATGCCGTACATAATTAATTTACAAAATGTTGTGCAACAGGACTATCATGTTTATCACAATCATAATTCTTGGCGTATAAATAATAATAATAATAATAAAGACTGGCTGTCAAGTTACCCGGGTATAAGCGAGAAGTAAGTCCTCATTCCCCAGGGACACCGCCCCTAGATATCTAAATAGATGACACGAGTGAGAAGAGAGGCCTCACTGGCGCTCCAGACCGCCTAGTGATGAAGGCTAAGGTACAGAAAAGCATGTTATTATAGTTGTGTGTAATACCGTTTGATTCCGGGATTATTCTCATCGCCTGCGTTTTCTTTGAAAATACAATTGTACATACAGTGCTTCTCGTTCTAAATGCGTCACCTGTGATTTTCCGGATTGTGCCCGTCATGAATATTTATAAGCGGAGTATGCCGTCAGTGGTTGTGGGCACGTTCAATCTCCTTTAGCTAGCCGCATCCAGCTAATGCAACATCATGTCAACGAGTACTACCAGTTCCCTGAATAATGCAGGTAAGTTTTCCTGGTTGGTTTGAGTTCACGTGAACAATCATCCAAGTCTTAGTATTAGTTGAAGTTATCATCCATCTGAATTATTAGTATAAATTTGGTTCATGTAGCTTCCAGTTAATGAGTATTTTCATCTTTGAGTTTTATCAGTTTGACTAAGCGGTGTAATGTGCTAATACCGATCTCGGGATTTTCTTCGAGTACTGAGTTTGAGTGCGATACGAATTCGGTGCTTGATTAGGACTATGCTAGGCCTATGTTCATATGGTTCGTTTTTGTGACTTGTAGGCCTAAATTTGCTATTGATGAGTTTATGTCATAATTCTGAATGGAGAGTGATCATGGCTAAACCCATCCCCGGGACCCAACCTTGTCAATTGATGAGAATAATTTCTCGGCCCGAAGTTCGGTACTACACAGGCTACAGCACGTCGGTGGTGATGATGTTGACTCACTTAGTTTTTTTTTTGGCTGGCTTACAACTGGTAATAAAATGCTTCAAAATTACAATCTCTTGATATTGTTTCGCTTTCCTCTGCTACATTTCAATTCTGAAACAATTGTGATGTCATTTTTGATTCCTTATACTTCTGAAGTGAGCTTTGTTGTAGAAAAGCAGCCTAAAGGCAGCAGGAAATGGAAGCCTTGAAAACAATAGAAGTACAAAAAAAAATATTCGAACATAGGCTAACAGCAACATCAGACAACATCATCATTGTTGCTGGTGCAGGGTAGATAAGGCCTGATACAGTGATCAAATAAACTTTGGTCTATTGGTCGTTTATTAATAGATGGAGAAGAAAATTGTCCTGTAGAGAGTTTGGTCAAGTCAGGACCTACTTTCCATATTACCGATGAGTCATACTCCATGTATCTTGCTAATATTTATTTCTTCATTCTTGTTTTAGCTTCACATCATCCAAAAAAAAAAAAAATATCTCATTTTGTCAGTATATTTACAAAATACATCAGCATCGACGAATGACATTGCGTAGTAAAAAAAAAAATTATGTGCAAACTAATCGGGCTACTAATGTTTACGATTTTAACTGTGATTGAGCAATTTCTTGCATCATAAATTGGAAATATTTACTTCTTCCTGGTAAATTGTTGTGTTACCATGTCTGCAAGTTTTTTGATGAGGCGTAGCATTTCTGTGCACCTCCTATTGTTGTGAATTCAATAGCAATTCTTGTATGCAAGGTACATAGTATAATACCTTGACCCGCTGCTGTAGCTTTTGTAGGCCTCATTGGTTTCATGCAAATAAGCCTGGAATCCAGCCATTGATTTCTATTATCTGAGGCCATTGAAGAATGTCAAGAGATGGATTTAGTCTGATGAAGTAGAGTTGGTTTTACTTCATCTTAACCAAGATGACGCTGTCAGTTGATGAGAATGGTGGAGAATTAAAAATGAATTTTTGCAGGTGAATGAATTTTGTAGAAACATGGAACTAAGTTTTGTTTTGATAAACTATTTAGGGATGAGAACGATACTCAAGCATGTCTTGTCTGATGAAAAACAGTTATAATTTTACTTCATCTTAACCAAGATGACGGTGTCAGTCGATGAGAATAGTGTTGCAAATTTTCAATCTCGTACTTATAGAAAATAACAATAAAAAAACTAATAATACTAAGATTAAAGTAATTAATTATACAAGTATTTTTTTCAGGAAGTACATTCTAGAGAACATCATGGGACAATTATAATCATCTTATTTTTTATTAAATTTTATTGGCTAACGAACTTTCATTCACTGAAACCTCAAACGTCTATTGTTGATGAATCGTGTAAGAAGTTTTGGATGGGTCATATAAGCTAAAAGCTTACCAACCGACCCAAAAAACATCAAGCAAGTATCAAGCAAGTGTTTATTGGAGAATTAAAAATGAAATTTTGCGGGTGAATGAATTTTGTAGAAACATAGAACTAACTTTTGTTTTGATAAACCATTTTGGGATGAGAACAATACTCAAGCATGTCTTGTTTAGATTTTAAGTACAACAGTTGAAAGAGAAAATGAATGTAGAGCACTGTGCATGCAATAACAGCTATTATAGCTTGTGTTACTGCAGTAGTCGTCATCTTGTAATAATGCCCATCTAATATTGTAAATCATTTACTCATGAGTTGTAGCTGCTGGAAGTTCAAAGTTCTGCTTTGTTGGCCACAGCACTCTTTGGTTTATCAGTAATGCTTGGCAACCTGCTGACAGAAACCCTGCTATGGGATCATCCATTTTTCATCATTTTCACTAAAGTACAAAACATATGCTAGGGATGAGGAGGGTCAATGGTGTATGTTTGTAGTTTTTTTTTATATAAAGAAAATGATAATCTTGAAATGACAACATATTTTATTATATGTATCTTTTAGGGGAGGGAGGGGTCATAGGAAAGAGCGTTTGGAGTTTTACACTATCTTTGATGAAATTAATAGATAACACTCCCTAAATCGACATCAAGTAACTTGAAGAAAGTATCACTTCTCAACACTAACACCATATAATTGCAGAATTCTTCCTATTGTATTTACTGATAAATGTACCAGACAGTCTTTGTCAAATAAGAAAAAATATTCATTTATTCATCAATCAATTAAAAAAAAAAACCGAAAAGATGTAAATAAAATATGAAATGATGTAAAGGACAACCAAAAAATAAACTCAAATGAGCTTGTAAATCAGGGTGCCCTAAATATGAAATTAATATTATTTTAATGTTTAAAATGGGAAAAGAGTGATAAAATACTAAATCATGAATCAATAACTGATATATTTTGAATAAATAAATACATTTGTGCACAAAAACACACATACTCAATCAAATACACACTTTATACATAAAAAGAAAATCAAATAAATAAAAAAGCCAATGAATAATAAATATATAAATAACTAAAATAAATAAATGAATGAATTTAAAAAAAAATTAAAAAGTAGTTGGTTGGGCAAAGGAGATGAGGGGAAAAAAAAATTTGGAAATAATTAATTTTAAAAAGAAAATGGCACATGTTGCAATGAATTCTTGCAGCGATAGTTTGTTCTCGCTACAGTTGAGTTTGCGCATAAATAAAAATTTATCCAAATAAGGAGGTAGGGCTCTGAAGAAAAGTCGTGGGTGCTTAATCGAACAGGGTTTTTAAGAAAATTTTGCACTTTAGGTGGGTAATTATTTTAGTGGGACGCTTCTTTGAGCAGGTATGGCAACTGTTACCGGTAAATATAAATAAGTCAGTTCAGATCAACATACACCCTACACTGCTTGGTTTGTTTATATGCATTGACCTTTGACATGGACATGCTCAGTTAAAGTTACAAAAGGGCGTTTTCTACTGCATACCAGATAATGAGTTATTTTCTTTCAATGTTTCCATTTCATGCCAGAAAGAAAAAAAAAATCTTATTTTGACTTGGTAATAGCAAAATCTATTTTTTAAACATCATCGGGGGAGGGGGTGGGGAGAGGGAGGATAATAATATAATTTTGTCACAAAAAATTAAAAAAATTAGTATTCATCAAGAAAATCATCAAGGTGGAAGAGAATTAAAATAGAATGTTGGTAAGCAAAAATAAAAATTCCCAAATGTGTGATAAAAAAGTAAGAAACTGCATTGTTTGGTCCTTGTTTGGTCATAGAGATAGTAATTCATGATGTAAACAGTACAGTAATCGGAGTAATGCTTTATATTTATTTAATTGTGATGAAGTAACAACAATTTTTTATTAGATTTCAAGGTTTAGGGGACATAGAATAAAATGATTAGATTATCACTCCCGCCCGCATCCAAAATTTGGGAAAAATTGATGCGGGAATGAAAAAAAAGAATTTTTTTTTGCATCATCATTTATTTAAACAGCTTTAAAAAAACAACACAATTTCATGACTGGCCATATATTTTCTTAAAAAACAATATAATTAAACCAGTTTTATACAATATTTGCAATATTGCCAAATAAAAACAGTCCCTCCCTCTATAAAAAAAAAAACAGTATTCTATTGTTCCGATTAAAAAAAAAAAAAATGCCCGCCCTCAAAATAATATTTTGTAAAGAAATTTTCACTTTTGCAATGCAATGGGTGACCAATTACATGTAGGGCAAAAATAAATTGTTATTTTTGAAATAATTATTAGTGTGCTGTGGGTTTCAGAAACCTGGTTGAAAAAAAAGGTTCCCAAAGTGAATTACACCCAGAAAGTCGTACAGAAATCTAGCGTCCTTATAAATGGTGCACTGTGTGTGTATAATAGGCTTAGGCAAAGAACTGAGATGCTATAGACATCTTTGTGAACAGAATTATGAGGTCCCGTCTATTCAGTTCTCCTCTTTAAAAAAAAAAAAACAAAAACATGAATAAACCCCAAGCAACAAAACCAGAAAAAGAACAAGCAAAGCTACTAAAAAATATTTTCCCATTTTCATATCTTTTTAAATAGTGTATTTAATTTTAATACTTGTATATGGTGATAATTTTAGTTATTCAGTAGTTCATGGTTTATTCTTTTTGAATTGCTAATATTTTGCCAAAATTTTCAGTTACCATCTCTCATTTATCAAGTCAAATACAACTTTAAAATTTAAAACTGAATGTTATTTAAACATTACACGATGAGTTTTGAGTTTTGAAAGCGTGAGCAACTTCAATTTTTTACTCTCTTTTGTTTGCCAACCATCTTCCAGCACTTGACTCAAAACTGCTAAGTTGGAGCGTAAAGCATGAGTCACCCTATTTCCTCTGTTGCCTTATTTGGAGGGATGTAAAGCCTACATCCCCCCTGGTAAACTCATCTCTGCAGCTTACCCAAAGGAAGAGGTCACGCTCGATCATAGGAAATGCGCATTGGCTGTCAAGATGGACCAATTACGAGCAGTGGAGGTTGAAGTTGGCAAGCGACGCTCAACATCACCATCATCCTCTCATTGGTTGGTTTGGAAGAGCTAGCAACTTGTTGAAAATATCAATGTCTAGACAACTTGTCTGAGTTTATAACATAC